TAGTTTTGGGTATGAATAAGGATCCATTGATCGTTCTTTGCTGACCGAACTTTTCCTTTAAAAACGGAGTCAAATGTGGGAAATTGTTTTAATATACAAAGACGAATATCTGTGCAGATCTGCTCACCCTTCCTAGTCAGAGCGTCTCTATAAGCAGTCAGTGGAACACAGTGGGTGGGTTCAGGGCTTTATTTATACACCAACTTATTTTCACTGTTAGTAATGGAAGCCCTTTGGACATGGTTTCTGCGCCTCAAGCACCTGCAGCGCTGCGTTTCTCACCTATTAGAATGAGGCATAAGCAAGTTTACTCACTTGATGATTTTGCTCTCGAACTGCTTGGCGCTCCTCCATTTGCGAATGCATTTCAGACAGTAACAGTGGCTGCAGTTGGAGAGGATCCCGAAGCGCCGCTCGCTCGGGTTGGACTTCTCGAACACGACCTCCATGCAGACGCCGCACATCATGTCCTTACTCCGCTGGATGGCAAATGAAATTTCCATGTCTTTTTCATGAGCTTCGATGCACGCCTAGAAGGAGGGACAGTGGAACACAACAGAAGCTTTGATTTTCCAGCCGACCAAAAACAGAATATTTCTTAACCTCAAACCCCAGCTTGCTAAATTGTATTTAATGATCGATGAAGACAATGATTTTATTGATTTAAGTCTACCTTTTCCCCCAAACAAAGATAAATCTTCAGTGTTATTGGTAGCTGCTTTATTCCTGTCTGCTCGTTATGTTAGAAAGTCCTTAAATTTGACCCAATCAGATTCATAGTTTACTAACCTGAATGACAGGAGGGAAACTTTTCTATTTCATCTCTAAAACAAAAACTGAATCAAACAGACTGAATTCCCACAGTGTTCAAGTTGCATGTGAACTTAACCCTTTATAGGGCGCTCAGTGAAACACTGAAAATCTAAATTTCAAGCCAATAGTGTTACTGGAATCCAGGACATTTGTAACATTCATAAAACTAGAGATGTCCCGATCCAGG